TGAAGTTCTACGCTAACGTTGCTTTGTTTGCCTACCACTATTGGGTGCTCGCTGGCGTTGATGTATTGCGCAAAGATGCGAACCTCGCCGCGAAACCTCGTGGGGAGAAAACCAACCGCCAGTATATGCTTGAGCACATCTGGAAGCGGCGCATTGACTCCGGATACCTTTTCTTGGGTGACTTTGACGAGCACGATGAAATTATCCCGGGACAGAAGAGGCAGACTGCCATCGACCAAAAGAATGGCTGGCTCCTGACGGTCTCTGAGACTACCGAGGTCGCTCACATGGATGATTTTGGGGACCCCGTCTATGCGACTAAGGAGCAGATTGCAGCTGCCAAGCTCTTGCCATTCAATCAGCGACTTTACAATATGCCACGGGGAACCGTTGGTCCGGATGTCTATGACGAGGGTCAGGATGTGCAAGTCCCGGCTGAACCGTCGACGGCTGATCAGACAATGCCGGATGCAAGTGTGCCGGAGGTCATTGAGATTGACGACACCTTTGCGCCCAGCGCTGATTCGCCTCCGGGGACGGAAGGTCGAGATGCAAACAACCAGGCTCCCGTGAGCACTCCGGGCATGGAGTTCGTGTCTGTCACCGCTGATATGCCGAAGCACGGTGACACCGAGGTGGACCCTGTTACCATCACGGAAGAAGAGGAGCTTCATGTATCCAATGAACCCATTGCGGATGAAAACTATGTCAATGAACTTCTCAAAGATCACCTTGACTCCGCCATCAAACAGGGCTTTGAGAACAATATCAGCCAGATGATGACTCAGATGAAGAGATTGTTTTCAAGGAACCGATTCTCACATCTATGCATGCCGATTCATCTCAGGTCGCCGGAGTAACCTACCAGTTGAGAAAGAAGGAGGATGAAAGCGATGTCATTCGCATCTACATGGCAGAAGAAGACATCCCTCAGCTCACTGGTGAGGCACTCAGGAAGTTCCGTGAGGTTACAACCCTGGGGAACGAGCCCGACCTGGCCAACAAAGCACCACAACCGAGGATCCCAAAGGCGAAGGCATCAGGTGAGCCGGGGGCGCCAAAAGCGCCAAGCGAGACTGCAAAGTCGAAGACAAAACCGGCATCACCGAAGACAAAAGCACGCCCGGCGGGAGCTGAGGCCGATGTTGAGATGAAGCCAACAGAGGAAGCTCAGCCCAAAGTACCAAAACGCCCGGCGGGAGCTGTGGCCTCGGATTCGACTCCGACAGCAAAACCAGCTGTCAAAGCCAAGGCCATGCCTAGAGCACCACCGGTGCCTCCCGTTTCGTCGCCTCTTGGGGAAAACGAAGTTGTGGCATTGCAGTCAAGATCGGTTCCCGGTGCTGCCAATTTGGCGAATCTGAACTCGAAACAAGTCTGGCTTTCCCGACGCGTCTCGGGCTTGCTCCGTGGCTGGGAGCATAGTAGACAATCCTGGCACAAGGTGCAGCCTCCAAGCTTCGACGCCGGGCTGTGGATGGATTTTGGCAAGGTGTATTCGTTTATCAAGCGGAAGTACGATGTCAACCTTACCAACGATGACCTGCTGAGGGTCATTACATCCAATCACAGATTCATGCTCGAGGTGAGGATTGCGCCAAAGGGGACTTTGGTCGGTGGAAAATACCAATATACACCTCTCCGGATCAAAGCGATTCAGAACCATAATGAATGGTCAAGCAACAACGTGCAAGACGCACTTCCCGAGCATGAACGCTTTGTCACTCTCGACGAGGAGTATACGTCGGTGGAATACCAGGCCGGCAAATTCCCTCGGGTTCCGCGGGGTGCGCTGGGAAAGGTGAAGGAGGTGGCCCCCACCATCCTCTATCACTACACGCACCGGGCAGCACTGGTTGAGATCATCAACATGGGATTGATTCCAGGCGGCAATCGTACTGGAGCCAGATTCACATTCTTGACAAAGGAAGATCCGTGGACCATTTCAGGCACCGATTATGCAGCGATGGCGGCGACTCGCCCCATCTGCGTTGCCTTGGATCTCCAAATGATGATGTTGAACGGGCACCGGCTCATAGAGACCACTGCTGGTACAATCCTATGCCCTGATTGGCTGGCAAACCGGAACGTGATTTACGTGTATGACATGGAATCCCGATGCTACGCCTTCGCGAACCATGTGTACGCACACTATCGCGGCATCGTCACCGGTGAAACCAAAGCCTTCAATTCAGCACGCACTGGGGGACCAGTTGCCGATGACGATGAAATGGTGAAAAGCCCGCTGGAAAAGTACACCTACCAGGTCCTTGGTGACTATGAGAGGTGGTGCGGTAAGGTGGACACCTTTTCCCCATTCGTGTACGGTGAACTGTTCGAACGCCCAGGCGTGAAAGACCAAATGGTATCGGGAAAGAAGAATCCCGATTTAGAAACATACGAGGTCACGTATGTCGTTCGCAGGCCCAATTTCAACGCCTATAGGAACCAAGTGTCGCCCAAAGAGATGCTGCCCAACTACAACCGACCTCGGTTTGATTGGCGCAAGATCCACCCCGAGACTGAGGGTTATGGCAACACTCGATGGATGGTCGTTGAGGGCATTCAGATGCCAGAAGATCAGTGCCCGACATGCACACATACCTACACCCATGGCATGATGTCCTGCATCACATGCGGCGCCTTCCTCAACAATGCCTCGGATCTGTGTAAAGCTGCTCAGCTCATTCGGATCGAGGAAATTGCATCCGATCTCGGTATCGAAGTCACGATGGACATGGTACCTGAGGATAGGCTGCAAGGAACAGGTGTGAGGAGGACGCCGGCGGGGACGCCTGGCCATGAAGTTCAACGTGCTTCTCGTTCGGGCATCAACATCTTGAAAGCGAACGCCAAAAGCCATGTCCAGAAGGCGGGTAAAATGTCCATGACAGTATCGCAGCGACAGCTGACTGACGCTTTCTACGCGTTCAACTGTGCAGCCCAGGACCTCTCTCCAATCTGCATTCAATTCCTGGAACGACTATCAGATGCCGTCATCCCTGATCCTCCGAGGACAAGGGAAATGATTGCTCGAGGCGTCGGTCATCGCTATGCTGGGAAAGTCATCTTCATGAACGAACCAGCAAAAGGGAATGATGCTGACCTGAGCGAGGACTTCTTCATCTATTGGAAGAACAGGCTGCACCGACCTGAGACTTTCGCTGCGGACTATTGTCAAGGTACAAAACGACCCGCAATCTTGGGATTTGGAGGTGAGTGGCGAAGTGAGAAGACAGACCCTGATGACGTCTTGGATGAACTCCTGGAATTCGTGATGGGCGACGCTCAATTTGTACCTGGCTTGGATGTCAACCTTGTGAAAGAAACAAGGGCACTTGTGATTCCCAAGGCCAAGGCCGCACCAGGTCCAGGTGAAAGTCTGGCAAGAGCTACACGTACTCAAGCCAAGACATCAGAGCATCGCTGGCGAGGAGCTGCAGGTAGTGATCAATACCATGATTGGCAGCAGTCATCCTCGTCGTCTTCCTGGTGGTCCTCATCCAACCGCAACTGGTGGCAAGATGATCGCGGTCGTGGCAGTGACTGGCGAGGACATGACTGGTGGAGTCAGCGCAGGTGGTGAACACGACGCACAGCGGGAGCTGTTGCCTGTGGAGAAGAGAGTGAAATCTACGGGTGACTTGGCTGTCTTTGTGCACTGTGTTTTCCCTCAACGCACCGCGGGAGCGGTTGCCTGGATGACCGTTTCTGTGATGCACCGGGGGACCGGATGCCTGAAACCAGCAGCTAATTCGTTTGAGTTCAGGTCGATGAACTTGGCTCTCAATCCTTGCAATGAAGAGCGCACACCTTTTGCTGTGCTTTGTCGCCACGCGGGAGCGTGTGCCTTGATGGCTTTGCTTCTGCTTTCTAAAAGGTTGGCATTGCACTCCCAGTTCCGCTGCGCAAAAGAGATTATCTTTGTGAGCTTGCTTTGAACTTTCATGCATGAATCAGTTGAGACATGTTCAACCCTAGCATCAAAGAATGACAGTGCATTATATGATCCGTCCTTGAGGTCAACTATCCTCTCCATCTCAAGGCACGTTCCGGTTCGATGCTTCGCACGTACCGGGGGACCGGATACCTTCGTAGGTCCTTAATTAGTGCACTGTACATAACTTCATTCCTCCCATTTTCGTTCAGCGGGGGGTGTTGTTTCACGCTAGGATGTCTAATACATGTCTCACTTACCTACCGTTTGGCTCAAGGAAAACCAGGTGCGACTTGTTGGTAGTTCTCGGTCGTTTACCTGTAACTACAGTTTCCCTTCTTGTTTCCGTCACTGTGTCCCCCTTGTCTCCCGTGATCTTCCCTTTGTCTCCGGTCTTGTCTCCTTGCTTGTGGGTCTCCTTTCTGTTTCCTTTTGTCTTCCTTCTTGTCTACTTCTTGTTGGTTATCGTGTTCGCCTTGTCTCCCTTCTGTCTCCCTTTGTCTCCTTTTGTTTCCTTTGTTGTCTGAGGCGGGCCCAGCAGCCCAGAGCTGGGAGACACATAGAAAGGATTGCGAGGCAGAGGTGGACACCGCAGTCAAGAGCTGGGGGGCGCATGTAAAAGATTCTCACTTGTCATTGTGTCCGCTTTGTCTTGTTCTCATTGGTCACTGTGCCAGCCTCTTCTGCCTCCTTTTGTCTCCCTTCTTGTTTCCCTTCTTAAACCACTGCCTTGCAATCCTTTCCATTTGTCTCCCAGCTCTGGACTGCTGTGTTGCAAGCTCTGGGCTGCTGTGTCCGCCTCTCGCTTGCAATCCTTTCCGATTGTCTCCCAGTTCTGGGCTGCTGTGTCCGCCTCTGCCGTGCAATCCTTTGCAATCTGCCTTGCAATCCTTAAATTTACATTTGTCCCCCATCTCTGACTGCTGTGCCCGCCTCTGCCTTGCAATCCTTTGTCTCCCAGCTCTGGACGTCGCAAGCTCTAGTTGCAGAGTGTTCCGATTTTGAAAAACACAAACTGTTTGGGGTCTGCGGTGGTGTAATTTCAGCACGCGCCCAGCACTAGGCAGTGTGTGGAGAGCCTGCATTACATGACCAAGTTCAATGTGATCCACCGCGACTTCAGAGGCTCACCCGAGCGCCATGTCCGTGTGTCTCCAAGATTCTTCGAGGCCTACTCTTCACCACGCCAGGTTGCAATATCTTCCTCCAGAATCGTGGTAACAAGTGCCACGTGAAAGTCATCGACCTGGGCTTCATGATCTCAGTGCCTCGTCGACCCGGTTGTTGATTGAAGGTCTAGAATCTAGAAAAGCAGGAGCACTCAGAACAAACACAGCTATTAGGTTGGAGGCCATAACTACTAGGAACAAGAAGCTAGTAGTAACTAGTAGCTTGTTGCTGCTAGTAGCAAGGATGCTACTAGGTGGAGGCCATCCCTACTATTTGGGACTTTCCCCGATCACTCCAGGCTGCGGCAGTGCTTGGAGAGATGCTAACAAGAAGCTACTAGGGGCTCCTGGCCGTACTAGTAACATTCGTACTAGTAACACGAAGCTTTCTGCTCCGGTGGCTGCGAGATTGTCCAATCCTCTTCACCTGCTCACCTCATCTTTTCCATCTCAGCCGCCCACATCCGTACAAGGGAGTGGATGGTCGCCACTGTACTGAAACTACTCGGAGTGCGTGCTAGAAGACTTGCACAAGTCACAAGTTGATTAATCCTGACACAGCTTCCAACGTGAAGCTGCATGTTCAGTTAAGTTGGATCTGGGAGATGTTTCCATGTCGGCTGAACGCGGTGCTTGCGTGTCCACTTCCCTTTCAGGGAATCCCCTTGATCCCCTTGTCTTTGTGCAAGGAAAGGGGTCATGCTTCTACTTGTAAGCAGTGCATTCTCATTGGCTTCACTTCTTGCAAATCTTGCTTGTGCGTTGCACGTGCTCCAAAACATGTCCTGCTCCAGTGCAGCACCGCAAAGGCATGTTGGACAACGAAGCAATGTTGGACTGAAGGGCCTTCTGAAGGGCCTTACGGATCCTCGTAGCATATCACGCATTTGGATGAAAATCTGGTGGGTCTGCATAGAACTCCGGGGGGCGGAATATGGGGGACTGGTTGGTTGCGAATGCAGGTGTGTCTATGGTCCACGGTTCTGCGAGAGGACTGCTGGCTACCCATGATGGCTTGCTGTCCCTTACTCTCCGTGCGTGACTTGCATGTTGGGAATGTGCCCATCCGTCCCAAGACCAGAATCGGCAAAGCATAGACCCAGGTGCTGTGGCTTCATATTTAGAACCCGTCAAGCATTGCTCCTGAACCTTCTGCAAGACGCGTACACTGATGTGCACCCTTTGTCCCTCTATGTCCACCAACCCCAAATCCACAACGCGCAGCTCCTTCCACACTGCCCGTAGACGCTGCCTCCTTGTAACTTGTTCTCACTTGCCTGAACCCAGTGATGTGGGGAAAAGGCAGTGAGCTGTGTTGCCAGCAAGGTGCCAGCTGAATCAGGAATAATTATGAACAAGGTTCGTTTTGCGGGCAAGGATTGACCTAAGACTCTAAGACTTTCAACATCCTCACTTATTGACAGTTTGTTTCGAACTCTTGGGTGGAATGGTTAGGTCGAGGATGAGCAGAATAGAAACAAGAACATTGCAGTCCGATGTGCTTGGAAAGGGCAGGACAGATGGGGGCACAGAATGGAAACGCCCATGGGAGTGCAGTTTGAGTTGTGCATTTATGAGTCGGTCAGCTTCTGCAGGACCCGAACAAGGTCCGCTTTGATTGGTCGCCACCAGAAGTTCGAACACAGGCAGCCGTGTGCTGCAACTTTGGAATGTGCCCTGACGAAGCTTGGAGGGCTCCTGGTCTTACTACTGGGAGCAAGGACGCTACTAGATGCTCCTGGCATCGCTACTAGTAACAAGAAGCTACTAGGGGCTGAGGGTTATTTGCGAGTCTCCCTCAACCGGGAATGAGATGACTTGTGGGAATCAGGGCCAGCCAACCATAGCAGCGGTTAGGGCCAGGTGGCTGTGGGTCAAAACCGGGGAACCCTCGTTGACCACGGAAAATGAACAGAATGGACTACTAAGGAGGTCAACCTACCAGGGTGTGCGGCTCCGGGTTTTGACCCATATTGATCCACAGCCAGCGCCAGCGCATTTGAATGTGTTTGAGAATGCAATTTGAACTTGAGGCCCGCCACCTCGTTTGATGTGTTTTCTTTGGGTGTCCTGACCATGAAGCTGCTCAAAGGCCGCAGCTGGACGCAGGAGCAGAACTTGGAGCCTCACGGTTTCGTGTTGGCCGTTGTTGGAAGTGTTGGGCCCCTCCCTTGATTTTGTTTGCACTTGCCTTGACTATGTTTGCTTCGCCCCTAGCGATGGCGTCCAACCTGGCAATCAATGGCCTCCAACCTATCCATTCCTGGTCCCTCTTGTGACGTTTGTGCGAGCACTGCTGATGCTTCCAGTTTTGCCGCTTGCAGGAAGTCCTGAACGGCCAAGAGATCCCGCAGAAGCTGAGCACGCTGGCAGTGCAGGTGGAGGAATTGCCCTTCGGCAATCCTGCAAATGAATTCGTTTTCTCGGAGGGAGGGAAAGAGAGTGACAAAGATAGACAGATATAACAAAAAAAGGATATATATATATATATGTATATATACCTATATATATATATCTATTGTACAATGCACGTGCTTTTGTTCGTGCTACCTTTGTGCCAAGTATGTGGAGGAACAATGCGCACGGCGACCATTTGAAGGCATTGAGCCTGTCTACTGTGCGAGAAATGGGGAGGAAGTACGAGTAAACAGGTCCACCTGATGTGGTGGAGGAGCTAGGCACCACAGCACAGCCGCTACAAGGAGAAACAACAATAAGACAGTACTACAAGACTACAAGGATAGTCATACCAGCAGGAGGAGCACCGATGAGAAGTGGCTAGCACTGCAAGTGGAGAGGCTGCAGAGAGAAATGCACAACTTGTATGACCTACATACAATGGCAGCAGACTAATCTGCGAACAGTTAGTCGCTTGCTCTGTTTGAGGGTTGCGTAGGTCTGCATGCGATGCCTCTAATGAGGCTTCTGTGGAAGCCCATGCGTACTAACGATGTTGCTCCTTGCTGTTTATAGAGCGGGTAGAGGTGCTACTGACATGTGTTCTCCCAGTATTTAACAACTGCTCTTGAGTTTGGAGCCTGATGCCACAAGCTCTGGACTTCCGGCGGTTGAATTTGGACTGATATGCAAGTTTCTTATCTTTATCCAGATCCAGCTGGGGAGGCAGGATCCAGTATAAAGAAAGAAATGTATGGCGAGTTCATACCACGTGATTCCATAATCTTCCGGCAAATCTGGATGTGTCCAGCGCAAGGTTACGTTTTTTTTATCCTCGTGTGTGTGACTTGCACATTCCTCTAAGGGGGTTGGCCTCAGACCTTTTCGTCAGAATGCTGGACCATGAGGACCCCAGTAACAGGCAGGAACCCAGCGTGCTCATGATTTGTGATGGCCTCCAACCCAATAGCGATGGCCTCCAACCTACTAGCTAGCGATGACTCCTTGAACCTGCTAGCGATGGCCTCCAACTACCGGTTGCTCACCATTTTTTGTCATTGGCTTGATATTGTGGCCAGGCCGACGCCCAAGGAGTTGCAGGACGCCTTGGCTGCCACAAAGTCTCCTCAAAACTCACCGGTGAAACCGAATCCAAAACCCGCGCCGAAGAGCATCACCAATCCGCAGGAACGACAAAACCATATTTGCAAGCAAATCAAGGAACAGATGCTGAAACAGCAGCAGGAACTCGAGAAGCGAACGCAACAAGAGATTGAGGAGTTGGAATTCCGGGAAATCACCGAGGCGGAGATGCACTGCGAGCTGCAAAGGCTCAAGCAGCGTTGGCATCTCACTCGTGAGGAGCAGAAGGAATGGCTAAGAGAGCAGGACGAGGAGAATCGCCGGCTCCGTTTGCAAAAGAAAATCAAGCAACAGCGAGTCTTGAGGCAAGAGGAACTACGACAGTCCGCAGCAAAGCGGCTTGAAAGAGGTGCCTTTATGATGACGCTGGGTGAACCACTGACTCCACCAAGCCCAATTGAGATCCCAGCTCGGCCTTCACTGCTGAAACGCCCCCGTGGCTCAGCCGCTCCCCTGAGCTCATCACCTTCGCCCACGGCGGCCAAAGCGATTCGCCCTCTGCCCGCGCCAGTTCCACCGAGCACTTCGGTGATTCAGATTGAAGAGCCCCCAGAGCCCCCAGAGCCCGCTGAGCCCGCAGAGCCCGAACCGAAGCGCCGCAAAGTCCGTGCGCCGTGGCCTTAGTATCGATGTAGTAGCGATGCCCTTTGTTCCTAGTAGCGTCCTTGTTCCTGGAGCCCCTAGTAGCGTCCTTGTGCTTGAGAGCTGCAGGAACGGCTTTGGAGCCAAATCACCAAAAGCGTCCACACTGTGCGCACTGGGGCATGTCGAGTTGGCAAATCAGCAAAACTATTCTCCCAGGCCATCTCCGGAGAACACGGTGCGGAAGCCAAGCCTAAACAAGACCCGTCCCGAAGAAAACCTCAAATCAATTCAAAGTCGAGTTCAAAAAAGACAAGGTTGTAGATTTCTTTGTTTCTTTGCCACACTTTTGGTTGATATGAGGCGACTACGCCAGCAACCAAGCCGACGAAAACTCGAATCAAGCCCATGGCTCAGTTTAGCCCTGCACTAGGTGTTAATTACAGGTTGGAGCCCACCGCTGGTAGGTTGGAGCTAATAGCAGCTTCCTACAGCAGCTATTGGTTATGTCCCGGTGGATGTTTCGGAGTTTGTCCATGAGATGGGCTTCGAGTCAGCTGTTTGGCCCAATGCCACAATGCTTTTGCAAATCTTTTGGCCCAGTGCTTTCCATGGCAAGCATGGCAAGCTGGTGGGGTGGTGGCTCCACGATCATGTCACGGACGTATTGGTTGTGGCTGGCCTTGAAAAGAACCAAGGCGCAAAATTCTTAGACGCTTGTCCTTGAAAGAGGTGAGACCAATGTCTTACGTATGATTCTAGGCTTTTCACTTCCCTTTTTTCTAGAGTGTGCATAGTGTACCTCTTGACGATCATTTTTATACATTTTTATACTATGTTCCTTCATGGTTTTGTTTTGGTACAATGTTCATCCCTTTGGCGTGTTTTTTTGCACTTTCAACTGCATGAGTTTCTGAGGGTGCCTCGGAAGGGACGTTGCCTTTCCCTCGCCTTGTGGGCGAAGCCGTTGCTCCCACAGATTCACCGGAAAGAGACGAAGCCGTTGGATCGTATCCTTCCGGAACTTGGATTGTGCTACAGGCTCATTCAAGCACCACTCAGTCTGGACAGCAGCTCACCCTCGTGCGCTTCTGTGTCGAAGGGATGTTAAAAAAACCGGATGCTGTTCAAGTCATTTGCTATGAGCGGCGCATCAGCTGGCGTGGCACCTGGCCATCTGGCCTTGAAACTTGTCCTTCCCCATCCGATGCTTCTACTTGGCATCCCACGGGGTGGTCCAGTGGGAATTCGGTATTGGAGGAGGTATTGCCTCTTTTGGACGAAAGTTTTGCCTTCGCCCTTCACGAAGATGAAGCTATGACCAGCTTGCAGAGGTGGTTGGGGTTGTGTCAAAAGTTAATTGGGCTTACTATACGCTGCCTGGGGGTGATCAATCAGAGTCTTTTAGTTCTTCAACGGCCAGTGGTGACTTTGAATTCAGTCTTTGGAGGACGAAGTGCGTTGTTGACACAGGTTGAGGCTCGGCTGAGAATGCAAGGGCAGATGGCAAGAGACATGGCACAGTGGTCAACATGCTTCAAAACTGAAAGGCGAGAACAGAGTGAACGTCTTTTGCTGTTCTTTGGGGTCCTGGTGGTCCTCTTCGACACCATCCTTGGCTGGCTTTTCTACGTCCTGATCACGTCCAGCGATTTGCTGTCATCCTTTCCTGCAGTGCACCGGTGGGCATATGGCAAGCAGCTTGCACACTTGGTACATTGGTTGATGGGGGCCCCTGCAGATTTCAAGTTGAACCGAGAGCTAACTTCCTTTGCCGGAAGCTTTTTCCTCTCCATGTTTTCGCTTTGGGATCATTTGTTGTTTTCGCTTCAAGCTAATGCTGCTCTGGACATGTTTGCGTGCCTTTGTGCCGTCTTGGGGGGTTCTTTTCTATTGACACTCTTCATGGACATTTTGGCCATCATGTCATTCCCGCTCTTTGTGGCCTACTCTGGTACTTGCTTATGTTGGAAGATGGCAGTGCGATCTCTCTGCACTCTTGGTTTGCTCTTTCAAGGCTGGAAATACAATGTGCTTCGTTCACGGATTGACCACCACAACTTTTCCTTAGATCAGCTTTTGGTGGGTGTGATTTTACTATCAATTGTCGTTTTCCTTTTGCCCTCCCTCTTCATGTTCTACGTTTGCTTTGCAGCAGCGTGGTTCCTGGTCATGGCTTTGCATTTTGGGTTGGGGCTTGCGGTCATGCTATGCAATCATCAGCCGCTTTGCTTGCTGCTTGTGATACTTCTAGACCCTTTTGCATGGCACCATGGAGTGATTATCGAGATGGAGCACAGCCAGGGAGATTTGGCTGTGCCGCATGCATGGATGCGATTGTATTGGCATTCCGCCAGGGCAATGGATGTCCCAAAGCCGTTGACTGCTAGTCTTCAGCAGCAATACTTCAGTGGATGGACCACTCAAGGATATGCATGGGCTTTCGCATCCGGGACGGTGTGCCCCATCCAAAGTCCAATCACTTGCGTCCTTTCTCTGCCCCATGCCAAAAGTCTTCAAAACAAGAAAGCAACTTCTACATCGCATCGCGTCGAGACAAAAATTAGCAGTCAGTTTCAAGACGGGACGGGGGAAGCCAAAGAGCATTGATAGACGAACATGTTATTATAGTGGCCCCCCCAATGGATAGAAATGGTTTCCAATGCATTTTTAGTGGGGACTTAGTTTCTATGTATTGGGGGGTCTACATAAACTGTTTGAGTACTCTTTATGAGACTGCTACGGCAACGGTGATCCTATTTGGCATCGGGTTTGTTGCGGGGTACAGTGCAAACTTTGACCAAGCCACGCTGAAGGAACTCCTAACGAATCTCAAGGAAGACATGTAGGTAGGTCTAGGCCGGTATGTCCACACTCAAATCCTCCTCTCCCGAAGTTGCAATCATGTGTAGCACAGAACCTGGGCGGTATAGGACGCTCAGCTTGGGACTCGACGTTCTCCGTGCACTCTGAGGTTCGCACCTCCCAAGCCGAAGGCGGGACCATCGCCAGGTCGCAGTGCCAAGAGTGGGGGCCCAAGAGTGAAAGAATCCTTGAATCATCTTGAACCTGTTTTTTTGTTTTAGCCGCTTTTAGCCCGCTTACTTAAGTAAGGGAGAAGTAAGCTACTACTAGTAACGGGACGCAGGATAGCCAAGGAAGCCCTCACACTATTCATTTGGTTCCTTGTTTTTTTAAAACTTTGTGAGCTCTCACCGTGTCAGAGTGACGTACCCGAGGCAAAGCCAAGCGAGTGATCCGAACCATCGACTGAGCGGTTTGATTCACTTTTCACACTTGACTACAGGGTGACACAGGTGCTGCTAAAGACCCGCTCTCCAAGGTGTTGCATTTGCAGACCGGACACGTGATGTTACCAACAACAGTGAATAATCTCCCGGCATTCGGATTTGCACAATCGCAGCCAATGTGCATCCTTTGCTTCTGAGCTTGTTCTGTTTTGTGGAACGTTAGATGTCAGGCCTGCAGCCTTTCAGTGCCTATCCCCATTCCAACCATTCGTTGTCACTGCTCAAGAAGTTTGCCCTAGCTGCTGCCCGACTGCCTGAGGACGCCCAGTTGGACTATGTGAGCCGCGCAGTTCCCTCAGTTTGATATGCTTGTCCGGTCACTGCCGCTGCTAGATTGCTAGATTTCAGCCCTGAGATGGTGCAAGTGAGCTCAAGAGGCTCAAGGATTTCTCTAATTTACCTGTTGTCATGGCAACGTCATGGATTTTGCGATTGTCCTCCCTGCCGTATTTGTGCAATCTTTGCTCGTGGGTGGGTCCGATTCAAAAGGATCCTGCCTGCAGGCCTATCAAAGTGGGCACTGGGCATCGATTCAGGGCGCCAAGATAGAACTCGAGGGTTCAAAAGCTTGGCACAGACCTTTCCAAGAACTCCGGGAACTTTCCAGGGTGGCTATGGTTGCCTTGAATGGCTGTGGTGTTTTGGGAGGGCGCTTATGGGGAATAACTGGTTCAAGCTCTGAGTCACATACCTTGAGCGCAGAAGTCCAAGCAATGTTGTCAGGAAAACGACTAGCTACAAGCCTTTGCGCACCGATCGTTTGTAGCGAAGAGCAGATTCCCAAACTGGTGGCTATCTACATGAGCACAACTGCCAACCTTTCGGCCTTCCAATTTCCATCTAACTACCTTCAGGTTGCAGAAATTACCTACTGGCATACTTTTGGGCTACACTTTGCGCTGGTGGGCATGGACAGCTGTGGGACGACCTCGTTACGCTGGAACCTTGCGCAGCATCCCAAAGTCAGGTTCTCACGTTCAACGCATGGCTCAGCTGAAGACACCAGCCTCACGTGGTCAGAATTGGGCACGTTCCTTTTGCCTCCAAAGCAGTTGCGGAATCGGTGGCTGAGATTCCAAAGGCGAGACTCCAGTTTCCGTCATAACTTATCGTTCGGCATATACAATGCCATTCTGTGGAAGTCTCCTGTACAAGTGATAGCTCTTTCGCACATGCACATTCCACTAATATTGGTCGTGTGTTCTCCTAGCAAACGCTTGGCAACTGGGCTGCGAGAGAGCGGAGCAAGCGGAGTGAGTGGAGCTGGTGATATCATTGACATGGAGACCATGATCAATAAAGTGGACCCTGCTGAGCCGGGCCAACTTCGTGAGCTTCGAAAACTCTTCGGTCGTCGTTTATTGGTTGTTCATCAAGAGTCATTGCTCTCGAAGAGCACCTATGACGAGATTGGACACTTCATAGGTGTTGGTGCCATGTCGTAAATGGAGGAGTCATGAAGCAACTTTTGTCTTTTTCAAGAGACATTGACATCTACAACACATTTTCCCTCACTTCTTGCAAAGGTTTAAACAACCATGCACCTGGCTTGCCTTTGGAACCGGCTCAGGTCCCATGCCGCACGTTGCCCTGGGACGTTTCCACGTTTCTGGTCGGAGCCAGCGAAGCCCCGTGTGCCGATGCCGAGATGGGCTGCCGCTGCAACGACTCAACCGCAGCCTGCAAAAACATGCCTTCGCCATCACCCGACTTCTGCAGGAGAAAGACGGTTCGCGTGCACAAAGGAGAAAGAAAGAGAATGGACGAAAAAGGTCCTCGCTCTCGCTCTCCCTTTTCCGCTCGCTTATTAGATTCAATGCTGACTGTGCCTTGTATCTTTTTGTTTCTCCTGAAGGCTGGAATAATTACCATGTTTTTGCCTTCTTATAGTACTTCTTTTGCTCGCTTTCTTTTGCAACCTCTTGTCTCGTTAAGGTATTGCTTGTCAGATTCTGCCGCCAATGATTAACTCGTTTGTTGTGTGCCCTTGCCCAGCCAACTGCCGTATTTCACCTTCAACATCGCATAGTGACGTAGGGATGTTTTGTGCTCATTGCTCCATTTTGTGAAGTAGCTTGTTTGTTCCTGTGCATGCCTTACAAATCACCGCATGAGGGGGTGATTCACACTTGTGCTCCTATTGCTTGAATCAGTCCCGCCAATGTTCTGTGAAATCAATCCACTGCTGCTGTTGATTGTGAGCTGCATGCTGGCCTTTGATTGACTGCCAGGTTTCCATGCTGTGGCTTTGGTTGATCTGGCTCTGCTTGTTCTTGCTGTTTCTATTTACGGTCGCTTTTCTGTTGGTGTGTTGGCTGCAATTTCTGTCGTTTTGTCTGTTGTACGTTTTCCAGCGCTACAGTGCAGTAGTAGTAACGTTGTGCTGGGTAATGCTCTTGTCACAGGAGACCTTGATCACATCCATCAGTTGCCTGTTGTAATTTGTCTGGAATTATTCTTTCTCAAGTGTGAGTATAATCTGATTGTACTATAGTGTTGTTGAGGATTCCATTGTTCCTGCCACAGCTCCACAGGAAGTTCGGTGGGCATTGTTCTACGTAGAGGAATGGTTCTTGGGCGTCCCTGTACTTTATTTGCCGCATGTGTTGCTGTAGCATGTTCCTGACGCCATTCCTGCAGTCTTGCTTTCTTGCTTGTTCGCAAGCGGATGTGCAGTGGTGCGTAGCTGAAGCCTAAATTATAGAAAGGAAGGTCTTACAGTTTGGCCAGTGTTTAATGGTTCAAGGCCCAGTGCGAACAAGGTAAATTGGGTACGTCTTGATGACTGACACAGACACACACGCACACTCTCTCTCTCTCTCTCTTTCTCTCTTTGGCCTGTATGCATGCAGCTATGCCCTCATCCTGAAGGAAGTAGAATGTAAAGAAAGCTGAGCAATAGGCACGCAGCACTATATGGACATTTTTCATACTCTGGGCTCTTTAATGCTTATACTTAACCCCAAATGTATATATATATATAATATGAAAGGACTTCTTATTTTTGATTGACATGAATATCGAGCTAGTGTTTCGAAGGTGTCAGACACCAGGCAAAATTGTGTCAGCGTTGCAGGAGTCTCAACAGCCGGTGCCTGCAAGTCTTTGGGATGTTCAAGGCCATTGCCATGAGCAGCTCAAGATTTGCCACCGTTTTGGCAGTGAGATAGCCGACCATCGCAATGAAGTTTGCACCTAAAAGTGCCCTCATCTCACCAGTGAAAGTTGTTGATTTTTGATGTGCACGGCTTGATGCACAAGAATGTCGCCTTGGTCTGGCTCCCAAATGGACACAGCGAACAGCATAAAGGGGGACGCATGAGAGAGGTCCCCAGTTTTGGAAGCATGAAACGGAACAGGAGCCTTTTCATCACAACCATTAGAGTCACTAGAGAGGCTCATTCTTTGCAATGCGAGTGTTGTAAGAGTCCGGAAATCAGAGAGAGAGAGAGGGGAGCCAGTTTCCTGATTTTTGCAGAGCGTGCCAGCCATGTTGCGTCTTGTGGATGAAGACGGGCAGCCGGCTGTGATCGGACTGAGCCGCGGCTTGTGGTTGAATCTGTCGGATTTTGTTGGCGAGATGAAGAGCTTGGGAAAGGCCGAACCGACCGAGGGCAAACAAGGCTCCGCAGAGGGCTCACAGCTTGGATTTCCTAGAAATTGGCCTGCTGCTTATAGTTCAAGCTCGTTGAAAGCACTGATTGGCAAGCGTGGCGTGCTTCCTGGAAAGCGGGTGGCAGTGGCAGGGGGGCCTTCAGAAGAAGAGAAGAAAGTGTTGAAGCCACTTTCTTTTGAAGCCCGTCCTTTTCCGCAAAGCTTTTCAAACGCACAATTCATTGCCAAACTCCAGCCAGGTCTCTCGATTGTGCGCGGGTGGGTTGTTTGGGAGTGGCTGGACCAAGAGCCTGGCAAGTTTCTTGCGCAGCGATATTGGTGGAACAGTCACCACGATGGTCGTTGGGTGGACTTCACTCCGCGGCCCAGTGGTATTGATCAATTGCTGCTGGTGGAGGCTGAAGGGGAACGTGACAAAGAGCCGAAAGAACTCCAAGTCCTGAGCAGGGCACAAGCTGAACTGACTAACCAGCTGCTGTCAAGGTTTGCTCCAGAGCCTCATGGGCCCCATAGCCCCTGTGTCAAGGAGCAGCCCGCTCAAAAGCTGCAGGCAAAGCCACAGGCAAAGTCGCAGGCAAAGCCACAGGCAACGCCACAGGCTGCCAAAGCATTGGACTACTCAAAGTGGAGCAACATTGTGGATTCCGATGAAGAACAAGATGAACAAGGTGGGTTTCGAGATGAAGATGTTGGGGTGAAAGATTTGGCCGAAGGTCCTCGAGGCACAGCTAAAAAAGAACCTCCCATCCCCGACTATTTGCTGGGAAGCACGAATGGCGGAGGTGGCACCAACTGTCTCACCTCCCTGGTGAAAATGCTGGACTCAGAGCAGACACAAGAAAATGCACATCAATTGGCACAAGTCTTTGGTCGAACTTTCCACAGTGCAATGCTTGATAAAGCAAGGCAGGACTTTTACAAGAAGGCCTTGGAGGCCATGAAAGAGGTGGCAAAAGATGCTTATGTAGTGATTCTTGGCATCGGGTCCCTTCTTCCAATGCTTCGTGTCGCCCATAGCTTTAGTGGAGTGCTGCTGGAAAGCTCCGCGAAGTTGGCGGACTTGGCTCAGCAGCTGTTGAGCAGCAATCAAGTTGGCACACACCTGAAGGTCGCGGTGGTGAAAGCCTTAGACGATCATGAAGCTGTCCAAGAGGCTTTACAACAACATGTGCCTGCGGGGTCGTGCACTGTCGTCGTTTTGACAGAGAGGACTGCAAAGAAACTAAAACTTGCATTTCTGAACATTTCCTATCATGTGTTCACTTTCCAGTTCTTTTTTTCTAGTTCTCCGAGAGGATGGCACATGATCTCCTTTCGAATGGCATTGTGCCTTGCAGCCTGGCCGTGCACGAGGCACTGAGGAAGCTGGTGCCCTCGGCCAGGATTCGGCACATCCCACAGACAGTGGAACTGCTGGTTGCTCCAGCTGAGATTAGATCTGACCGTCTCAAAGACTTCGACATACGCCCTTTCAATGCTTTGCGGCACACCTCCTCAAACGACAAGGCCGATTTTTGGTGGTGGCCAGTACGCATGGATAACCAGCAAAACACTGTGTGCTCTGTCCTTGGCCCGAGCAAGACCCTTTGTGGCTTTGATTTTGACCGAGCTCCGGAAATTGCATTGGATGAGGTGCGGAGACCCTTGAAACTTCAGGCTTTGCAGAGGGGGCGCTGCAATTGCGCAGCAGTTTGGTGGGTGGCCAAATTTCAGGACTTGGAGTACTCCACTCGCCCACTTATGGCTGGAAGGGGTGTAGACCAGAAGGACAGAGCACAGCAAAGATCCGAGTGGAAACAAGCCATCCACTACTTGGCTGGAGAAACCGCGCTGTTTCCGGGAGATGTCATTGAGTTGCTCGTGTCCATTACTCCGAGATTCACGTTCCGGATGATGCAACAAAGCCCCATGTCAGTTGAGGCCCCACTGTGGGTGCAAGCACCGACAAACAGCAAGTTCAGCGCAACTTTGCCGATCTTACCATATCATTTCCTCATGATGACAGACTTGGAACGCCTGAGAGTTTATCAAGATGCCCTTCGAGATGCAATCCGAAACCAGAGCAAGAAGCTGGGACGCCGCTGTCGCGTTTTGGATGCTGGCTGTGGTATTGGGCTCCTGGGTTTAAGTGCAGCCTTGGAAGGCGACCGTGGGCCAAAAGAAACACAAAGAAACACGCTTTGATAAAAGCTTTCCAAGCGATGAACCCTGAACAGTGCCTACTTCTATTCTCTCCAAGTTTGGCCGTCACACGCCAGGATCAAATCAGACAATTTGTATTAATTTATTCTGTTTGCGCACCCTTCATCGCTCCATTCATTTCACCTCATGTCATTGAATAACGGCTTTGTCCTCAGCACTCTTCCAATTTTTCTTATTTGTGTCATTATGACATTTTCTTTGTTTTCCTCGGCCTGTTGCACGACAACTGACCTCACTTCACCAACTTTTTGTTTGCATGTTTACGTCGCCTTTATGTGTCACAGCCCTGAATCTTTTATGTCTCATAAATCTTCTTTTGATGTCTCAGGCAGCTTTTCCATCATTCAGATTTAGACCGTTCTTTTCATTTCTCGCCATCTCGAGACTCAAAGTCTTTATTCGAGTCTCTTTTCGAGTCTCTAATCGAGCCTCTCTTCGTCACCTTTAAGTCTTAGAGTCAGCTGAGTTATAAGTTATAGTCGAATGGACCATTTGGGAAACACATTTGGGCACATAAACAACAGCACGCAACGTCATGTTTGTGATGTGACAGTGTGTCAGGCGCAGAGGTCTGGCTGTGCGAAGCGGTGCCTTTGATGCGCCACGTTTGCCGGGAGGTGGTGGCTGCCAACGCAGGCCTTGTTGCAGAGAAGCGTGGTCTTTTGTCGGCAAACATCAAATGCTTTTGCATAGTGGGTCGTACAAGGTGGTATCCAGGTAGTCTGACAATTTATCCTTTTTACAAGCCTTTTCTTTTTATATAGACATTTCTGTCTTGCTTGTAAAATTGTGTGAGAGGAAGGCGAACATGTCAATAAAAGCTGAGGACTGGTTCAGCTGCTTCCACCCATGATGTCCACGCGGCTCCACACCGAGGACAGGAGTTCAGACCCCTTCGTGTTTTATCTTCACACAGTTTTGCCCGACAAGTTTGTGAACGAGAAGTCTCCTTTGACTGCAGGATGTGCCAAAGTTTGACATTGTTGTCTCAGAAGTGATGGATTTGTGGTGCCTTGGAGAAGGAATCATTCCCACCATGCGGCATGCTCATAAGAAATTGCTGGCTGAAGATGGTGTCATGTTGCCGGGGAAGTTGCAGATCTATGCTCAACCCTTAGAGCTTTCTCTTTGGAGCGAAGTGGAGCAGAAGGAGCAGCTGGAGCTGTCCATGTTGACGCAACAATTTAAGAACAAGTTCTCAGCTCTCCGCATCGACCAATTCGCACACCGTTTCTTGACAGAGGAACCCATTCTTGCACTGGAGATAGACTTGTCAGATGTACCTCCTCAGCCAGCTGAAGGTGAAGCAAACATTGAGGGAGGTGTGAAACTCTGCATTCGCATGGGCGGCAAACCAGCTCTTCGTGCCAAGGTTAGCTCAACCAAGATTGATCATCGTGGGATGCTATCAGGCTATGGCATTTGGTGGTCCGCTGACCTGCGCAATGGGCACAGTGTCACCAGCGATCCTCGTAATCCACAGAGGAGTTGGAAGCAACTTGTGAGATGGCTTGACCAACCACGACCGGTGGAACAGAACGAGGAGATTCAGGCTGGAGGGATAGAAGGGGAGGCCATCGCCACTAGGGTGGAGGCCCTCGCTATTAGAAACAAAGAAAAGGAAAAGGAAAGAAGGTCTAATATAGTGTGCTTCTAAGGTGCCCCTGCTGTGTGCGCTTGGGAATTCAGTGTTTTTTTTGGTGGTGTGTGCGGGGGTATTGTGTGCCAGCGTATTTTCTTTGGGATGATGTGATGTTATCAGGAGCGTTGTGAAACGTAAGTTGAAAATGCCGCGACAGCATGCGACAGCTGGAACGCAATGATTCATGCTATCCGGGGTCTATGCTGTCGCAATTGCTTTTGTGATTTTTTGTGGCACGGTGGCCGCGAGGCAGTAGTCACATGGCATTGCTCGCACAAGTCTTGTTTCACTCGCCACCTTACGTTGCTGTTCTTCATTTTGGTGTCCACTGCACCTGTATGTACAGCGCACCTCCTTCCCTTTTCAGTAGTTACGTGTCACTGGGCTCTTGTGTGCTTTCGTCTCAGTGCCTCGGAGCTGAGCCCAAGTGCCAAGAGGTTCAGGATTGAACGGTGCCTCACTGAGGTTGCACTGTATGGGGTCAGGTGAGCTGGACAGATTGGCAGGCGCCGCCTGGCGGCGGCGGTGCGTCCAAATAATCACACCTTTCGGATCACACTTACAACACATGAGACGCAAATACGCTAGCCGCTACTACAAGGGATGCACGTGTGATCCAAGGCACTATAACCCGTTGCCAACACTACCAAATACTTCACACATCTTCACACTGATATTATAGTAAGTATATTTTTCCCGAATGCGTAGCGAAGGGTTCCCGTTTATAGTTGGGGGTCTGGGGGTTGGAGCTGTGTTCGCGTGGCTTGCGTCGTGTCGTCGTCTCTCGTCGTCTGTCGTCGTCTGTCGTCGTCTCTCGTCGTCTCTCGTCGTCTCTCGTCGTCGTCGCGTCTCAAATTTGCTGCCATTGGGGGAAGCTTTGGCAAGTGACTTTGCATGGATGTGTCACGTGTCAGTTTGCGCCGCTATTCCATTGTGATTTGCATGACACCGACATGTCGCGCAAGAAACGTTATGCATTTCGCTGCACAGGCGCAGCGTTTTGTGAGATCCGCAGTTTGCTGCGCAGTGCCATTGGGATTAGTGTTTGGAGAGTCGTGTTTTTGGGGTGTTGGATGTGGCCGTGCCATTGGGATTTGCGTTTCAGGGTGTGGCATCGAAGCTCTGTTTTCGTGACAAGTCTCAGCTGAAATGGCGATTTTGGAGGATGGGAGTGTGCTCTGAACGGGTCGAAATCATTCCAAACGTGTGGTGTGGTGCAAATTTTGTTGAAGCTCACATGCGATGATATTGTCACTTTTCGTGGCAGGCGCAGGACTTCGTGCGGGTTTTGAAGCGTGGAAGTGCGATTCTCGTGGCAGGCGCAGGGAATCGTGAGGCTGCGAGGTGTGAGGGAGGTGACATTTCGTGGCAGGCGCAGTACTTTGTGCGCGTCAGAAAGATTCGTTGCAGGCGCAGGGAATCGTGAGGTTGTGAGTTGTGGTAGAGGTGAATGTCGCTGTCACATTGGGATTGGCGTGTGAGCGGATGTTGTTTGGAGGGGCTGGAATCGCGAAACTGCTTGGCAGGGCTGCGTGATGTGTGTGCTTTGATGGGTGTTTCCGCTTGACTTTTGGAGGAAGTCTCGTACGAAACGCTCGTTTTGCAGACTTTGACGTGTGAGTTTTTGAGGAAGTCTCGTGCGAAACGCTCGTTTTGGAGACTTGACGCGCAACCCTCTGCGGAGATCGCGCGTGTCGAGTGTGCGAAATGCAGGCGAGAGTGCGATTTGCCCCACGCGCGCGCAACCCTCTGCGGAGATCGGCGCGAAGTGCAGGCGAGAGTGCGATTTGTCCCATGCGCGCGCAACCCTCTGCGGAGATCGTGCGTGTCGAGTGCGCGAAATGCAGGCGAGAGTGCGATTTGTCCGGTGCCCGCGCAACCCTCTGCGGAGATCGTGCGCGTCGAGCGCGCGAAATGCAGGCGAGCACTGGCGACTTTGTAGTACAACTTTAGTACGCGGGGTATCTGGCGAGCTGGAAGATGAGAACTGGTGACTTGGTAGTGCAACTTTAGTAGTACGCGGAGCAATCTGTGGAGCTGGAAGCTGAGAACTGGCGACT